ATTTTCATCCCTAACATGATATAGAGAGAGAGTCATATATTTAGTTTTTTTACTGGAAGAAAAATTATTTCCATGTATTAGCCCTAAACAATCAAAATTATTATAGTACTAGAAGGGTAATTTCTTTGATAATTTTTTATTTCTATTATTTTTTAATTTTTTTTCTTTTTTAATGTTTTATAAAATTATTGAAATTTTATAATTAACAAAAAAACTAAAAATATTTAATATAATAAAATTTAATTTAATTTAATGTACGATCATTGCAAAGCTTATTACATTGTCATAATAAAAAATATTTTAGGTATTAATCAACTTATTATATAAAATCATTTATGATTGAATGACAATTTATATCAATAAAATACATATATACCTAAATTAAAAAAAATTAATAATCTCATTTAATAATCATCAGGATAATTGGGTGGGAAATCATTATCGAACCTACTATAATAATGGATACAATCGAGTAGGTAATTCAAAATTCAAACTTCAAATATCAAAATTCAATCTCCGCCCTTCATTATCGCAAGATCAACGGTCTTCCGTACTCTTCCCTGCCACGTCACCGATCCGCGCACTGTCACACCCTCAAACGAATACCACCCATTCATTTTCCCAACAAATCAACGCTCAATATTCCCCCATTCATCTCTCTCACCGTTCTCGCACACACCGCAAGTTCAAAATCCCACACCGCTCCCTCCAACGTTTCCACCACCATCAAAGAAGGCCACCAGAAAGTCCGCTCCGGCTACCGGCAGCTTGAAGAAGCCCCACCATTTCAGGCCCAGCACGGTGGCTTCTCATCTGCGCCATTCACGCCAAGCGCGTCACCATCATGCCCAAGGACATTCAACTCTGCTGGATGCCCACAACTCAAACGACGCTGTTGGCACCGCCCTTAAGCTGCAGGTCCTCCCCGTCGCTCTGCTCTTCCTCTTCTACTCCCTCCTCCCTCTCCTCCTCGCTCTCCCCTCCCCCTTGCTCTCCCTCGTTGCCTCCTTCGCCTTGGCCCTAGAGTTCCTCCTTTTCTACCTTCAGCGCAAAGATCCCACCGGCGTCGAGAATTGCTACTACGACCTCTTCCTCCTCCACATCGCCCTCTGCTTCTTATGCACTCTCCTCCACGTCAGATCTCCCCTCTCCCATTTCCCCACACTCTCGGCTTCATTCTCCAGGGCACTTGGCTCCTCCAAATGGGCCTCT